GAGAAATTTCAAGAAATTTAATCCGAATCGATTTTTGCTCATTGTGTCCCCGGTTAACTGGGGCCATGAAAACAACACCACAAAATTCACTTGATGTTCTCCTGGGCCTGCCAAAGCTCGAATACTTCATAGAAGGCGAAGCAATGAAAACGGCTTTTCGAATGAGAACTCAAGTAAATCGGAACTTTTGTTCCAGGACATTACATGGGGATGCATTAAGAAACCTTTTTAATATTGAAAAGGCCCCTTCTGACAAACTTAAGATTTCCTCCTACAATTTAAGTAGGAGTTTTGAGATTATAATAACAAATAATCGAAATGAATTTTTCCAGAAAAAGGAGTGGGCCCATCACTCCCTTTTCACTGATGGATCTGTCAGAGAAACGGGCAGTGGCTGTGGATTCTACTGTGAAACAGAGAACATTACTCGCTCGATTCCTCTGGGACGAATAACAACAGTCAAACAGGCTGAAATATCTGGAATTTTTCATTGTGCAAACAAAATAATGGAGGGTAACATTGCGATCTTCACCGATAGCCTGGGTGCCATAACGGATCTTCATAGCTTTAAGGTGGGAAGTAGCTTGGTTATGAACTACTACAGAACACTACAGTGTATTGCCGAAAAAAACACTCTAGAGTTGTTTGTTTCAGGTCGCATATTGGTATAAGGGGTCACGACCTTGCAGATGCAATAGATAAAATAGCATTCCTCAGGAAGGACCCAAACCGTTTCTACCAATAGATTACTCACGAGTCAAGGGTACTGCCGCAATCTGGCTCAAAATAAGAGCCCGCCTCAATTGGCGAGGTACTTTTACATGTGAGCAAACGAAACATTTCGTGCAGCTTCCATGCCCCAAACTTACAGCCAACCTGACTGAACTTTCCAAGGGAGACCTACGGATGGTCATTGGCTTACTAACCGGACATGCCAGGGTCAATCATCACCTAAGAAACCTAAACCTTAGAGATGACCCTGACTGTAGACTTTGTGGTGTTGAAGTGGAAACAACATCCCATCTTATAGACGGATGTTCGAGGCTGAATGAAATAAGGGACGGGTTCACTGGATGGAGATCCTACCAGATGATCCATGCACCAAATGTTTTCAGCTTGGCATAGTTTTTTAAGCGGACATGTGATCAAAATCCATGTCTCGTACATATTTTTGGATAAAGACTATTTTCGTGTACAACAGTGCACACACGGGCGTCTTGCAATAGGTTACGAAACCTGAGCAAAGAGTTTTACTTAGCATTCAATTAGAAGCAGTTCACTCCCCGTTCAAATCCAATAATCCAAATTACTTCAAATATTTGTTAAAATTTCATTATTATCATTCTATTCTTTTAATTCTTTTTCCTCAAGGCATTGGTTTAAAACAAATTGAAGACTACAAAAAACAATTTGTATCAGAGTCCCATGAAATGAACAAACCCATAGCTCGATATGCGAACGATGAAGATCTCGAAGAATACTTGAGGAGTCAATGTCGTCAGGGTGACCCAATGGCAACATATTTTCGCAAAAAAGCAAACGATTCACAATCTGGTCCAAGTAAGATATTGAAACCTTTTTTTAATAAAAAAAATTCTTGGATTTTTATTATTTTCGTTCTTTTCTCTCGTAAATCTTCAATTAGGGAAGCCAATTTACCACGGATCATTCCCAGAAAACCGTTTTAACATTCGACCTGGTTATCGTTGGGATGGTGTCGATCGATCAAATGGATATGAGAAGAAATGGTTTGAAGTTTTGAATCAAAAGAAAGCAATCGATCAAGATGCATATAAATTTAGTGTTGAAGATATGTAGACGTTTGAAAATAATTATAAAAATCTTGATCAATAATAATAAAAATTCTCAAAAGGAATAAGATTAAGAAATTGATATAAAATAAATTTGAAATATTTGTAGGCATATATTTGTGAATAAACAATGAACAAAAATAAATCTTTTCGCGATTTCTGTACGTACAATACTGTCTGTACGTACAATATTAATGTTAAAATAAAAAGAATTCTATTGTATTTTATTGTTGGTAACATTTTTATGATTTTGTGAATTCAATTTATCACACAAGAGATAAACCCCACAAATTATTTTAGGATTCCTATTAAAAAATGAATTTGTTAGGTTTCCTTATAAAATCGCAATATTTTAACAGGAATCCTAATAAATTGGCGCGCTTAAACGTCAAAGCCAACCTCACTGTGTTGAAACAAAACATGTTTTATTATTTAAAGGTTTCCTAATAAAATGTTGCCATATTATAAGGAAACCTTACAAATTAATATTTTAATAGGAATCCTAAAATGATTTGTCAGGTTTATTTTTTGTGTGATAGTTAGAAAATTAGAACAATTGAACGCTCTAGAATAAAAACAACTTATTGTTTGGTCGCAAATCGAAACGCGATTCAAAACGGTTGCATATCAAAGCGAGAAAATATTTTGTTAACAAAGAAATAAAGAACATTGACTTTTTATTATACAAAATATGTAAGTTTCGTTTTGTGCTGATAACTAGCTACTGTTCTGCCATGTTTTAGTAACGGGTGACATCTATTATTATTCACCATTAGAATTAAGACTTGACAATTTCTATACAATTGTAAAGTCAACAATCGAAACTCATGTCCAGTTAAAAACAAAAATCATCAGGAAGCAACCGATATGGTTTAACAAGCCACTAATCGAGATGAAAAACAAAGTCAGCAAAGCTCATCAAATTAAAAATAAGCTTAACACATTTGAATCAGTAGAATATTTTAAACAATTAAGAAGAGAATATAAACGCAGTGCACGGTCAGCACTCCAGGACAAGTGATGATCTGCCGCATGAGATGTCTTATCTAGATATGAGGGCATATAACCAGTCTACAATCGCTGGTTTCTTTGCAAAGCACTTTGCATCAGCCTACAGCTCTTTGAAGGGAGATTTACTTACGATTTGTCAGCTCGGAGATTGAAAATATTCACGACATTTGTGCTGAAATATCACCGATTGAAATAACTGAGGAGCTTGTTATGCTACCGGATGATTTAGCCAGTGGTCCAGATGAACCCCTTTTTTGGAACCACTAAAATAAATGATATTAGAAATACGCAGAAACAAATAACCGAGTACGCTTACTCGCACTTGCGGTGTTAGCAGAGAGTCTACCCTTCAAAATGAGTTACGTACTCTATTTTACTCTATTTTTGGTGCCGCTGCGTTCAACGTACATGTGACTACACATGTATCTTTTCTTTCACTACGATGCGTACACTTGGATGAAATTTACACAAAAAATAGAGTAAAATAGAGTGCGTAAATCATTTTGAAGGGTAGAGTCTCTGCTAACACCGCAAGTGTGAGTAAGCGTACTCGGATATTTGTTTCTGTGTACTGTGTTTCAAGTTTTGCCTTCCTGACCATGGGGAAAAAAGTCAAAAAATGAGTTCTGAGCCTGCTGCCAACATGGCGGCCAAATCGAAAGAAAGTGCCATACAAAAAGTATTAGTTTTTTATGTACTTTAATCACAGAAAATTTCAAAAAGATCAATAACACTACGCAAAATTGAAATTGAAATTTTTAAGATGTTGAATTTTTCGAACAGATTATTCGATTTCGACGTTTAACTCTGTAGTGCATATCCCTGCCTTTATGCATATTATTTTTGCATTTCCATTACTTTTTTAAAGAATTGATTCGGTGGGAATAAAAGCGGGAATACAGCGACGAAATTTGAAATATGCACGCTCAAAAAGTGAAATCTGAAGAATACAACACAGATTTTTGTCTAACATAGAACATATATAGAATTTGTGTTTCAATCATTTTATTCAGATACATTTCAACGTGATGCATGAACGTTTGTTACATTTTTCAGTTTTCATTATTGTTTTTTCTATACCTTATATACACGCACACACTGGTGCTGCGAATATTGTATGTAAGATATGAAAAGAATGAAAATTATTGAGAGTGAATGTATTTTGGTCATCGATTTCAGTTTTGTGTTGACGACTTTTATTGCGCAGTTGTGTTTCAATAGAATGTTGTTTGTAAACAGAATGCCATGCGTTGAGAAATTACATGTAAGGGTGAGCGAGATAGCATTGAACTACGATTTGTGTGATAGAAATAGCAAATTTTTACATTCGGTCGCAACAGATGATATAGACCATTTAGCTGTGCATAAGAAGTGAGAAAAAAATCTGATTTTTTTTTTCACTTTTTGTGCTCTTTACCGAGTCTCCGAGAGTTTCATACAAGTCTCCCATATAGATGATGAAAAATCGAGAAAAATGAAAAAAATAATTAAATTTTTTTTCTTCGATTTACAAATACTACTCAATTTTCTGTATCACCTGTGAAATTTCTTCAAACTTTCAGAATATTAGCTTTTTGTGAAAAAAATACTCTGTGCAAAGTTTCACGTCATTACGATATCATACAGGCATTGAAAAGTCTATCAAAAATTATTTGTATCGCAAAACTTATATATGATTCAGTTTTCTCATGAATTCATATTTACGGTAAAAGATACGTAATAAATGCATGTTGTGGATCACAGTGCGGAAAAGTTCTGTAAATTAGTTAAGCAACTGTTATATTAAGATTGTTGCATAGAGCAAGGTGAGCAATGAGATGTGTATGGCTTGAATGATGAGTAAAAACTAAAGTGTTCTCTTTATTTTAATATCTTACTAACTAGTATAACAAAGTGTGTTGTATGTATTGGTGCGTTTCGCACTACACCTTCCCTCTTAGAATGAATTATAATGAACAATTTTTTTCATAATTATTTAGTAAACATTTTTGTTATTTTAAATATATATATATTTTTTTTTTGATTATTTTTTTTTTTCATTTTTCTCTCTCCTTTTGGGGAAAAAATTGTTTGATTTAATTCGTTTTAAAATACTTATTGATTTAAAAAAAAATGTAAATGAGTTATTAATATTTTATGACTCTATTTTTATGTATTTCGTATAATGTTTCATTTTCTAACTGAATTTTTACATTTTTCCCAGTTATTTGTTTTACTTCAAATGGACCGTCATAAATAAATTTAAATTTTTCATATGGTTCTTTTACAATTTTAACCATATCTCCTAATTTTAATTCAATTGGATTTAATTTTTTATCGTAATGTTTCTTGTTTGTTTCTTTTGCTTTTTCTATCAAAATTTTGGTTTCATCATAAATTAATTTCATTTTAAATTTGCACTCTTTGACGTAATCATCAATGTTATATATTGGTTCTGATTTTCCTTCAAATATTTCGTTCGGAATTACATTTTTTCTTAAAAATACAATCTCATAAGGACTATATTTGTTAAGTTGTATTATACCATCATGTTTAGTTGTATTATATAAAAATTGAAAATAAGACGCATATGTATCCTAGTCACTCATCTTCCCATTTAGGAATTTTCTTAAATATTCATTCAACACTCGGTGGCTTCTTTCTACTGCACCCACAGTCTCGTGGTGGTATGCCGTTGATATATTATGATTTAATTTTAGCAATTGACATAATTCTGAAATTACTGAATTTTTAAATTCTGTTCCCATATCGGCCTACACTCTCCAGCAAGTCACTTTTGAGTATCTTATTGAAACCTATACCATTTTTTTGTGCATAATTTGTGC